ATATTCATTTCACATTATAGGTATTTATTGATTTTAATATTGGTGCAGTCTGTCATGTTGATGATGTTGCAGCTTTACAAACAGCTTGTTAGACTGCAGTTTAGTCCAGGTTTGTCCCAGTTTTGTTGTTTATACGATAAAGTGAGATCATCATTTTAATTTTAGAGAATATAAGTTGATGTTTGTGGCATTTTATGGATTTCTACTTTGGCGCATCCTGACTTGGAATTTCTGGTTAGTGTCATCTGCTGTATTACCTGTGATTCTCTTACACTTTTATTCTTATAATGATGCATGGAGACGTTTTTGCTCTCCTTGTTATGCTGAGAAAAATAAGCACTGAGATGGAAGAAAGAGAGAAAAAGAAAAATGTCCTACTTTTGAAAGGCTGATAACTGTAACTGCTTATTGCTTGAGGTAGCTGGGTGGTTATTTTAAGGACTGTATTAGCTCGTATTCACAAAAGTCACCCTGATTAGACAATAAGTAACCTGAAGTGCGGCTCTTCCTTGTTGGTGACACTAGCTTACCTGTTCTGTCGTACTCTATAGCAGCACTCATGTTGTCTTCAATGGACCTCTGAGGATATTAGTCTTTGTTAGCAATGCCCTGAGGCCTTTACTGATCAGAAGAACATGAACATGTAGCTAATGAATTTAAAGTAGCTACAACAGTGAAGTCTTTTCTTTTGTGTATTTGAGACTTTTGTGTGTAGCAATTGTATGTTTGAATGTGCCATTAAATTGGTCGACTTAAATCCAGCATCCGCACGGGGAAGGCCTGAATGGGGTCGCAGTTTCAACAGCTATTTACTATTTAGAGGTGGGAATCACCATACATCCCACGATACGATATTACCACAATACTTAACGCACGATACGATATTATTGCGATTTTTTTTAAATATTTTGCAATATTCAGATTCTGTACATCAAGGTAAACTTTATCAATATTCATTTTCTCTAATATCAAAGTCTCGCACTCAGTCTTTCTCTCATTTCAGTCAGTTTTATTGTTGACAATCTGAACGGTTTGTATTACAGTCTGGTCCAACTTAACTGAATGCAACCATCTGGTACAATTATAGCTATTCTGAACTATGCAATTTATGAAAACTATGCAGCCCATTCAGCAACTGAAGAATTGGAAAGTAAAGTAAAACAAAATATAATTTTACATTAAATAAAAAGTTTTAACCTTAATTAAAATAAAACATGTCTTAAATTAAAACAAGTAAACTGTCATGTTTATTGCTGCCAAAAAAAAGTTAAACACATTTGGACAGTGAAGGAATGTCAGGATTCTTGCTCAGAAAAAGGATCAACATGCTCTGAAGTCAGAGTTCCAGTCCACAAAAACCTTTTTTGTAACAAAATATCGATTTCTGCTGTCCCTGTATCGATACATTATTAGCAAACAAAATATCACGATACTACACAGTATCGATTTTTTCCACCACCCCTACTATTTATGCTGTCATGGTATCTTAGTTGTTTTGCAAATTTGTTACACTTACATGCAAAGTTTAATATTATACAAAGATAACCTGAATGAATGCAAAAATCCAGTTTTTAGATTGTGATTTCATTTATTTAGGGAAATAAATGTTATCCAAGCCTACCTGTCTAAAAAGGTCATTGCTTTCTAAACCTAATAACTGGCTGTGCCATCTTTGGCAGCAAGAACTACAATCAAGGGTTTGTGATAACTGGCAATGAGTCTTTCACACGGCTGTGGAGGAATTTTGGCCCACTCTTGTTTGCAGAATTGTTGTAATTCAGCCACAGTGGAGCATTTTTGCACATGAGCGGCCTGTTTCAGGTCATACCAAAGCATCTCAATCAGATTTAAGTCCAAACTTCGACGAGGCTGCTCCAGAACCTGCTGGTATGTTTTGGATCATTGTCCTGCTTCATAACCCAAGTGTTTCTTGAGCTTCACGGTGTGACCTGATGGCCGGGCATTTTGGTCAGTAGTGCACGGATGCCATTTTTGCCCAGCCTCTTTCTTATTGTTAAATCGTGAACTCTGACCTTAAGTGAGACAAGTGAGGACTGTACTTCTTTAGTTTTTGTCTGATGATCTGAAACATGTGTGACAAATGTGCAAAAAAACTAAGACTGAACTAACTTACTCCTTCAAATAGCTCCCGTAAAAAACAACCAAAAGACTCCTACAACTTGTCATATTTACGTTGCATTTCAAGTGTAAGCTTTTTTTTGTAGACACTGTTAGTTACTTTTGGACCAATTGGTCTCTAGCTTCATTTTTAACAGATTGGTTTGATAATTAGGTCTCTGCATGAAAGCCAGCAAAGCTATTTTCTAATGTATAATTTTTGTTCAAAATTATTACCACAGTAAGTCTTGTTATTAGATGTAAGATGGGTCATCTATATGTTAGACAATTCAATAAAAACAAACTCATGTAGATTACCCTCCCTTGTATTTTTTTTCTGCAGAGCATCAGGGAGGATCAAGTCTGTCTCGCAAGGCTCTGGAGGTTACGACAGTGATAGCGTTGAGATGCATCCCATGGAGGACTGTCCTGAAGCTCAGTACTATCACATGCAGTGCCGGTTGAATGAGGGGGGTTACGAACGCTCACCCGGATGCGGCTCGAGAAACTGGGGTCTTCGTAAACAGGCTATCCAGAACTGGCAGCGGCGACCTTACAGGAACAGCACTGAAGGCGAGGAGGGAGACGTATCTGATGTGGGTTCCCGAACCACCGAGTCTGAAGTGGAGATGTGGGAGCAAGAGAGGAGGGCTGTGGCGGAAGTCCAGCAGTCTGCTGCGCCCTATTCTCACAGCAGAGCAGCATACCGCCCCAACGCCGGTAAGGGCTCTTTGGAAAGTTGTTAATGTAGACAGATGGGTAACAGATGGGCGTAGCCACGGTGACAGGTCACCCATCGATTTCGATCGGATAGATATTTTACATTAAAAGTCTAAGGGGATTAACTCACTGTAGGACCTGCATTTTTTAGTACTTTGTTGGCTTGATTTTCAGGTCCCAGATGTTGGTGCTTGTTTGTCAAGTGCAGGAAAATTAGTAGAAATCTCCACCCTGTAAATCCGACACTCCCTACAATTTAATATCTGGGAGCCAGGATTCAGAGTCGAGGCCTTGAAATGAGTCCCATAATAGAAGTGACAGATGTAGATCTGGGTCAGCTTGCTGTAATGTAATATTGCAGGAGCTGCATCAGTGGCCGAAGCTCGTTCTACAAACTGATTGGGGTTTATCACTGAGGCCTTTTATCTGCTGCAGGTCTCGTGTGATATTCATGCAAGACAAGGAAAAAATCTATACCATCTGAGAAAACAAAGTTAAAGAAATTGTATTTAAATCAATAAATAACATGAAAATAGGTACAAATGATTAAAAATTCTAATATTGGACCACACATATGCTTATTGTGTTTGCGGTGCAGGTACACAGCTTCAGTTCAGTTGCGGTGCATCAGGGGTCATCAGGAAGATGGCTCCATCTGCAGTGTTGGAGCTAAATGCAGCTTCTTTACGTTTGCTTCCGATAAACAAAATAAATGAAGCAACGAGGGACAAGAAAAACGCACAAAGTTTAGGGTCTATAAATATTTCTAGCAGGCTCACAGGCTAATGTTATCCAACACAATTTAAAATCTCGAGTCCTTTTTAATGAGATGTTTTGCCACCGTTTCTGTTGTAGATGCTGAGAAAATCAAGTCAAACATTGCTGCAGGTGACTCTGCTGTTCTTCCTCTTTGTGCCTTTGTGCGTTGCGATATTTGTCTGTCATATTGTCTCAGTTCCTCTCCTCATACTAGGTTTTGTGCTCAGCAAAGCTAGGCAGCTGGTCTTTCCTGCACAACTTAAATCCACCACAGATTGTGCATTTCTCTCTTAACTTCTTGTAATGCCAAGATCTTTGAACTCACTGCTGTGGCCCCTCCATCTTTTCCACCTGCTGTTGGGATTTTAAATACCAGTTGGACTGGGGCGGTCTGCGAAGAAGCAAAACTGGGCCAAATCTCTGACGAATTCGTGTAAACTGCTATAACGGCCCCATTAACACAAAAGATTCCTCTCATCATGTTACTGGCATCCCTCTGCTCTGACGTAGTCCCTCTTATCGGGAGAGTCTCTGCCAGGTTGTGATGGAGGTTTATGTATCTACAAGCAAAGACAGAGTTGTTTTCCCAGCATGCAACACACAGTTTGGCTTCTTTTTTTTAGTTCACTTGGCAATCTTGAGCGTAGGTGGTGTGTGTGTGCGTGTGTGTGTGTGTGTGTGTGCGTGAGAGAGAGAGACAAAGAGAGAGTGAACGAAGAACAGTGAGAGTGTAAGCAATGGTTCGTAGCCCTGTTGGTTTCGAGCGGACACCTTCCAAGGCCAAAGACGAAATGAGTCATCTCGGAGCAATCTTGCTAAGAGGAATGGACACATGATGTCAGCCGATAGATAAAAATCCACAGAATGAAAAGATGAGAAGGTGAAAAAAGAGCAATGTTAATTAGTGTCCTTCAGAAAGTTGGCGCCACCGTGTGACAGAATGTTTTGGGTTTTTTTAAAGAGGATTTAAAGTATTTTGTAAGAATCTCAACTCACCCATCATTTCTTTTACATTTTGCTAGAAAAATGGGAAACAGTTGCAGTGATTTATTGAAATGTGCAAACATACATGGAAATAAGCATGCAGGGCAAAAACACAGTGTGTGTAACTTTACTGACCTTGAAAGTCAGAGTTGAACCTGGCCGCCTTTATTTTTCAACCTAAGAAGGTTCAGGCTGTGTTGAAATAGTGTTTAAAAAAATTAGGAATAGTTCTTCAGGCTTCTTAAAAGACATTCAAAGCGCTTCTTTGAAGGTAAAGTATTGTCAAAAATCAAAAATCTTGTCTGTGTTCATAATTCCCTCGGTTCTGACAAAACCCCACAGTGTAAATGTAGCCTGAAACAAGATTTCTGACAATGCTTCAGTGAACTGTCAGCTGGATTTCTTCCCTATATCTTAAGGATTTGACTTTCAGATACTGTTAATTGTTAATCTATGCTAAATAGTTATTTCCTCCACATGTCCAGCTTCCTCATTATGTTTTGAAAGTACACCATATTCCAAGATGTTCCAAATTTTTGGCTAAAAGATCTTTGGGAGTCACCTTGTTGTTGCAAAAATAATATTTGATGCTTGTCAAAGTGTTAACTTTGGTATTTTTCTTAGATTCAACTAAAGAAATGGGTGCTTTACTAAGTTGCAAACACAGCACAGTTCCTCCCTTGACTAGGGTGCTTTTGTATGCTTGACTGATTCATAGGTCAGTGCTAAGTGGTTTAACACCCCCCCCCCAAACATTCCTCTGAAAGAGTGAGTGAACAAGCAGATGTTTAGAAAGCTATTGAACTATTGTTTAAGACTACTTTCTTTAAAAAAAAAAAAAGACAAAGTCTGGCTCCTTCAAAGCAAAATATAAAGAAATGAGTGTTGGCTCAAGATTTTTGCACAGTACTGTATTTGCACAATAATTTTGTTAATCTAGTTCGATTAGGAACTGGATTAAAGACTCTTCTATTCCCACAGGTCGGTCTGAAGGCATCTACAGCAAGCCATGCAGACATGAAAAGAGTCCTTCCAAATCCAATGAGGTGATCAGTCCAGAGATCCTGAAGATACGTGCTGCCCTCTTTTGTATCTTCACCTACCTGGATACTAAGACCCTGCTGAGAGCTGCCGAGGTCTGCCGCAATTGGAAGTTTGTGGCCCGCCACCCAGCCGTGTGGACCAGAGTGCTGCTAGAGAACGCTCGCATCTCTTCCAAGGTGCTTAGTGAACATGAAGATATTGTGATATATGTAACAGTCAAGATAACCATGTGCTTACTGTTATTATTTAAGGTGTATTTTCTTATGTACATGTATTTTTTTTTCTCAGTTTCTTAGCACAATGTCTCAGTGGTGCACTCAGACGCACTCTCTGATCCTGCAAAACCTTAAACCAAGACAGCGGGGCAAGAAGGAAACCAAGGAGGATTACCTGAAAAGCACACGGTGAGGCACACATCCAACATATAGCTGCCAAAGACTGCATGTAAAATATGGTCACTCCCACCACAGTGTCTTCCACTGCTTTGTGGATTTGCGTTTTGATGTTGTTGCTAACTTAGTTTCACCTTCAGACAAGAGGGTGGAATGCTAAGCTATCAGCTAATGTCAGCAAGCTATGGACTGTATGAAAAGCTCTCAGAGACGCAGTGGAGAGGTGCAGTTGAATGACTTGAACTGTCCGTGGTAAAATAATTCAGAGCTTTAAATCTTAACTCAAAAATGGATGAGTTGTTAAAAAAAAACTTCAGCTACAAAAACCAAAAATCTGACTTTTAGTATGCTTATTTTTCACTGTTGGACAGTTTAACATGAGAGCTCATGGTGACAACCTCAAGCAGGCCATGTGATAAAAAGCCCTGGAGCTCGCTGCTCGGCCGATAAGCTCAGTTCCTCTTTTCAAATCCCTGCCTAGTGGCTCATTCACACCTGGTACTGCAGTGTGTGTTGTTTTGGCTTTATTAAGCATTGCTGTGCAAACTGTCAAACTAAGTGACATACCAAATGACTCCTCAAAGAGTGATTGATAAGCGGAAGCCACCAGGAGAGGGATAATTGATGAATACTGACATTTCCGTGCTGCCTGATTATGCTCGGCATGTAAAAGATCAGTTATGATTTCCTGGAAGTAGAAAAGCAGATATTTGATATGAGTGGACGAGTGGAACGTGGAGTGAAGGAAACGAATTAGAGTTAAGTAGGTGCTCCCAGGTTACGCTGATACAACTTGGATATGCTGCAAATGTTAGTGGACCCTTTTTTGTTATTTTCTATAAATGGTACTTTTGGAGTGTCAAAAGGAAAAAACATCACTTTCTGTCTTTTTCTGTTGACCTTCCCTTAAATCTCTGTCTAAGTGGCTGTCTGGAGGAGGGTCTAGAGGCGTTGTTAAAGGCCACAGGAAGTAACCTGCTGATACTGAAGATTTCACACTGCCCCAACCTGCTGACTGATCGCTCCCTTTGGCTGGCCAGCTGCTACTGCCGAGCCCTTCAGGCTGTAACATACAGGTAGACTCTCACACTGACATCCAGGTCCTGTCTTTTGTGAAATAACGTACACTCAGACCGCTCTATAAAAACAGATAGAAACTATCCTGCTTTTTATCCCGAAGTCATGCTCTAATCTGTATAATATTGCGTGCAATTTGGTTATTTGTGCATATTTATTCTGTTTCAGGAGTGCCACAGATCCAGTTGGTCAGGAGGTTATCTGGGCCCTTGGAGCTGGATGTAGAGACATTATATCCCTACAGGTGGCGCCATTACATCCATGGTAACACACTCCATCTCATACCCAGAAACTCTGTTAAAATATGGGATTGCAAACAAATGAATGAACATTTCAAACCCAGTCTTTTCCCTTCAGCCAACAACCCGCTCGCTTCAGTAACCGATGTCTGCAGACCATTGGAAGATGCTGGCCGCACCTCCGTGCTCTTGGTGTGGGCGGTGCTGGGTGTGGGATTCAGGGACTGGCCTCATTGGGTAAACTAGAATAATAATTCCACTCCTTAGCGATTACAAATTAGAGTTTGAGCTTAACTGATCTAATTACTTTGTGTATTTTCTTGTATTTGATGTTTTTATCCAAATGAGTCTTGTCCATTATTTGTTGTCCTGACATTATTTAGTTTAAAAGACCTGCATTTCTGCTACAGCTCCTATAAATATAAGTGAGTCTTTGTGTCCTGCAGTAACCTCTGCTGTGTTTTATTTTGAAATCCTCCCTCTCTGCAGCGAGGAACTGCATGCGCCTGCAGGTGTTAGAGTTGGACCATGTGAGTGAAATCAACCAGGAGGTGGCAGCAGAGGTTTGCAGAGAGGGCTTGAAGGGCCTCGAGATGCTGGTGCTCACCTCCACACCAGTCACCCCGAAAGCCCTGCTCCACTTCAACAGTGAGTTTGAAAAAAAAAAAATAGATCAGGCTAAGTAGCTTTGCAGTTAACTAGTGTGGCTGTGTAGTCAATAATATTAAAGCAGAACTCTAAGCAGAGCCATGTTTTTGCTGTTACATTACTGCCGGTGTTGTTACTTATGTGTGTTAACGCTCCTTCCATTTATGTAGGTGTTTGCCGCAACCTCAAATCCATTGTGGTTCAGATCGGTATAGAAGATTACTTTGAGGACCCGAACAGCCCAGAAGCTAGAAAACTGTTTGATGAGATGGTTAACAAGCTCCAGGTAACAGCACCTTTGTGTCTCACAGTCCACCCACACTTCACATACATAGTTTGATACACCAGTTTTTCAACTGATGAGACATCCAGTACTGTTCAGACAAAATCAAGTTACAGGCATTCATTACTCAAGAGGAGGAAACCAACAGAAACCCATACCTGCCTGCTAACCTCTCAGTTAAAATTAAATTTCCCATTTTTAGAAAATGCAGTGCATGATTGAGGTGACCTGTGGAAGTTCACACAGAGGTGATTTTAGTGACTTTAGATGCTGATCGCTGTTTGAGCCAGGCGAGCTGGTCTGAGTATTTCAGAAACTGCTTTTTTTACTCAAACATCCCCACACAACCATCTCTGCAGTTTACAGAGATGGTCTGGAAAATAGGAAATATCCAGTGAGCAGCAGCTCCTACAGTGAAGATACCTTGTTGATGTCAGAGGTTAGAGGAGAATGACCGGACTACTTTGAGCTGATAGGAAGGCAACCATGAGGTATGCAGAAGCGCAACTACAACAGCAGAACACCACACAGGGTGCCATCTCAAACTGGTTTCTTGAACGTAACATTGAGTTCACTGTAGTCAAATGGCCTCCACAGTCAGCAGATCTCAATCCAGTAGAGGAACTTTAGGATGCAGTGGCAAAGGGGATTCACATCATGGAGGTGCAGCTGACAAGTCTGCAGCAGCTGTGTGATGGTGTCATGTCAATATGGGCATATCATCACACCAGCACCTTGAAGAATTAAGGCAGTTTTGAAGGCCAAAGGAGGTCGAGCCTGCTACTGATGGAAACTTTATTCTGTGTTATTTCCTTCTAAAAACATGCAGCCAAACACAATGTGACTGTCAAACAAACCGCGAGCACCAGAAAATGTGCCAAGATGGCGCCACCTTATCTCGCTGTTGTTTTGCATCTCTGTGTTCTTCTGCTGTTGTCGCTTTCCTCTCAGGCAAAGCTGACTATCACAGCTGACTTAGTGCTGTTCTGTCAAACATCCAGAATAAATAAAAAGAGTTTAGCCAATGAGAGAAAGACGTTTTTGTTTAAATAACTGTACAGTATCAGTTTGTATTATTGTTTGTTAGTGTAACTTTTATGTAGGAGTGAATATGATTTGTAATTTGGAAACATAACTCCTTATATACACCCCCCACTCTTTGTCAGCCCCCGTTATGAGTCTTCCTGAATGAGCTGTTACTATTTTACTAAAGTAACAGCCATTCATTCATCAAAGGTCGACTGTGCAATGTCAATGTCTGACATTGTAGTTACTGTATCTGGTAACAAAGGTCCTGTATACACATGACTAAGAGTTAGGTCAATAGTTGTTAAGTGGGTACAGTGCATCTATCTTTATCACGGTTGCATACCATTAGACCATGACTCAGTCCTCAAAGCCCCAGTGATGGTTTGTTGTGGATGTGCTGCTGCTATACTGCCAAGATGCTCTGGCTGTTGTTGAAGCTTAACACACACACACACACGCACACACACACACACACACACACACACACACACACACACACACACAGCTGTAGAATCAAGAGATTTTTTTTAGTTTGAGGTATTTTTT